TCAACTCCATTGATTTACAGGTTTACCTTTATGCCTGCCTTTACCACAGTCTCTATTATAGCTTTAAGGTTTTTTCCCCCCTGCTTATTTTTAGTTTGTTCTTTTTCCAGTATTTTAAGGTGGTTTATTGATTTGAGATCTTTGTATCATAAATACTGGTGTTTACTGCTATAATTTATATATTATTTAAATTATGTAATCATATGTAATTATATAAACATTATATAAATTATATATTATATAAATATATATTTATATATATAATGCCACTTCTTTAGTGGCATTCCATAAGCTGTGGTATATTGCATTTTTATTTTCATATACTCTCAAAGGATTTCCTATCTTGTGATTTTCTCTTCGACTCATTGGTTATTTATGGAGTGCATTAATTTCCACACATTTTTGAATATTCCAGATTTGTTACTTATTTCTAATTTCATTCCACTGTGATCAAAGAACAATACCTTTTAATGAGGCTTGTTTTGTGGGCACATATATTATGTATTGGAGAATGTTCCATGTGATATTGAGAATTGTGCTGTTGGTGTGTGAATGTTCTATAGATATGTGTATTTGGTTTATAGTGTTCAAGTCTTTCATTTTGTTGATCCTCTGCCTATTTTTTCTATTCATTGTTGAAAGGTGGGTCGTCTCTATTACTGCTAAATTATCTATTTTCCTGCCAGTTCTGTGAAGTTTTGCTTCAGTAGTCTGCAGCAAAATATAAAACTGTCAAAAACTTATGGGCTGTGTTGTGAGGTGCAGAGACGTTTACAATTGTTAATGGATTCTTGATGGAGTCTCTTTTATCACTATAAAATAAGCATCTTTCTGTAGGTTTTTATTTTCAAATCATTTTTGTCTGTTTAGCCACTCCAGCTCTCTGATGGTTGTTATTTGAAAGGTATAGTTTTTTCATTGTATCTTTATTTTTGAATCCTGTGGACGGCATTTAGTTGGATTTTGTTTTCGTAATCCAGTCTAAAAATATTTGATTGTTTAATCCACTTACATGTAATGTTGCTATTTATATGGTTGGAATTATGTATTTTGCTTTTTGTTTCCTATATGTTCTTTTTTTATTTTTATTTTATTTTTTTATGTATTTTTTTAATTGATATTTATTTTTTTTACAAATAGTTTATTGTCAAGTTTTTTTTTATTTTTATTTTTATTTTTAACATTTACTTATTTTGAGAGACAGAGCATGAGCAGGGGAGGGACAGAAGGAGAGGGAGAGACAGAAATCTGAAGTAGGCTCCAGGCTCTGAGCTGTTGGCACAGAGCCCGACGTGGGGCTCAAACTCACTAACCGCAAGATCATGACCTGAGCTGAAGTCAGCTGCTTAACCGGCTGAACCACCCAGGCACCCCTACTTTGTTCTTTTTCTGAATTCTTTCTCAACTATTTTCTTGCGTAATATTGATTCTACTTTTAATAATTTTTTGTTTTTTGGATTATTTTCTCAGTGTTTACTCTAGACCTTACAAATATACATCTTATCAGAACCTGATTCAGCAGGGCACCTGGATGGTTCAGTTGGTTCTGCATCAACTCTTATCTCAGCTTGGGTCATGATCTCATGGTTTGCAGATTCAAGCCCCACGTTAGGTTTTGCACTGATGGCATGGAGCCTGCTTGAGATTCTGTCTCTCCCTCTCTCTCTGCCCCTCTCCTGCTCATGCTCTCTCAAAATAAACTTCAAAAAAAAATCTTTAGCTTTATAGTAATTTAATTCCAGTTAAGTATAAAAATGTTAATCCTATCAAGCTCTACTCCTTTTTTGTTACACATATTGCATCTCTAATATATGTTAAAAAACATCTCAATATATGCTAGAATTTTTGTGATTGTGTTTTAAAAGAGTTGAAAGAACAAGTATACATTTCTAGTTTCTTATATTAGACTTTTTATTTACCATTTCTTGTTCTCATTTCTTTTTGTGGATTCTTCATTGAAATATAGCTTTGCTCCCATCTGCTTTATGGTGTTACAAGTATTTCTGTTATAGGTAACACCACAATTATATACATAGTTTTATAGAATTTTTTAAAAGTTTATTTGTTTTGAGAGAAAGAAAGAGAAAACGAGTAGGGGAGGGACAGGGGGAGGGGAGAGGTAGAGGGAGAGAGAGACAAAGAGAGAGAGAGAGAGAGAGAGAGGGAGAGAGAGAGAATCTAAGCAGGCTCCACATCATCAGCATGGAGCCTGATGGGGGGCTCAAACTCATGAACTGTGAGATCATGACCTGTGCTGGAACCAAGAGTCTGATGTCAACCAGCTGAGCCAGGTGCTTCCAGAATTGCTTTTTAAATCAGCTGAGGGAAGGGGAATAGGTTATTACAATGTCTTTTTATAATTTCCTACATAATTACCTTTATTGGCTTTTTTTCACTGTGAGGATTTGAATTACTATGTGGTCTCACTTCCTTTCAGCTTCAAAAATTTCTTGTAAGATTGATTTCCTAGGAATGAATTCTTAAATTCTGAGAATGTCCTCATTTTGCCCTCATTTCTGATAGTTTTGATAGAACATTCTTGGTTGACAGTTATTTTTTCCTTTCTGGCACTCTGCATGTCATCCCACTGCCTTCAGACCTCCATTATTTCTGATAAAGCTACTGTACTGGTAAAGGGATTTTCTTATACATAATGAGTGTTTTTTCTGTCTTCAAGATCTTTGTCTTTCAGTATTTTTTCATCTGACATGTATGTGGGTACAGATCATTCCACTTTATGTAAGAATTTACTGATTTTCTCAGATTTATTTTTTACACTAGATTTGGAATTTTTAAGCATAATTTCTTCTAATAATTTTTTTGCTTATTTTCTTTCTCTTCTCCTTCTGGCACTCCCATTACACATATGTTGATATATTTCTGAAGCTATTTTTCTTCATTCCTCGTTCTCCTGTTCTTCAGATTGTATTACTTGCATTGATAAATCTCCACATTTGCTGATTCTACTGTGAGCTCAAATCTATTGCTGTATCCCTCTAATGATTTTTTCATTGCAGTTATATTTTTCAAGTTCAGAGATCTCCATTTAGTTCTTTCAAAATACTTTCTTCATTCTTTATTTGATGAAATATTACCATATCTTTATCCCTAACATGGTTTCTTTGAAGTTTTTGTCTGCTTCCAACATCTGGGCCCACTCGAGGGCAGTTTCTTTTTACTGTTTTGAAATCCCTTTGTTTATGGGATACACTTTACTGTTCCTCCATATCTTGTAACTTTTTGTTGATAACTAGACAGTTTAGATAATATAGCAACTCTGGAAACTCGTCCTCCCTTCTTCCCCAGAGCTTACTTATTTAGTGACTTAGTTCTACTATTTAAGTTCATTGACCCTGCAGAGCCTGGGTATATGGTGTCACCCTGACTCCTCCCTCCAATCCCAAGGCCAAGTTTGGGGTTTTTATGGTTTCTTTCCTTGATCTCCTTGTAAAATTTCTAGTTCATCTGCCTCTATTGTTATCACACTGTGAATTAACATCCCACTAACTGCTGGTGGACTTACTACTTTGGACAATGCCCCTTGGGCATAAATTGCTGTAGGGTTTGATCTAATTAAATTCACGCACTTGTAGACTCTTTGAGGTTTGTTCTAGCCCTTGGACTACTCTTAGCTGCCTTTCATTCTCTTTTAGACTTATCACTGGTCTTCCCTTTTGCTAGTAGCTATCATGGAGTTGCCAGTCTGCTCTTGTATGTCTACTCCCACTCTAAATTTCCTTTGTCTACAGCAGCACCCTTAGGCTTGAACTAACCTCTCATTAGAGGATGCTATGGAAGCTGTTTTTATAGTTTTCTTTTTTTTTTTAGTTTTGGGTGGTGATTGTTTTTTTTTTTTTTTGGTGTGTTTTCTGTTTTTTTTTATTAGAGTTTTGTTTGGTTTTTTTTTTTTTTTTTTTTTTTTTTTTTTTTCATTTTTTTTTTTATTTGTTTTTTTTATTTTTTAGATAATTTTTTTTTTTTTTTTCTTTTTCTTTTTTTTTTGTTCTTTTCTGTTTTTTTGGTTTTTGTATTTTAATTTTGTTTTTTTTGTCTTTGTTATTTTTTTATTTTTATGTTTTTGGTTTTTTTTTTTGATTAATTTTTTTTTTTTTTTTATTCTTTTGATTATTTTTTTGGTTTTTTTGTTATCTTGTTTTATGATTGTTGTTTTGTTATTTTTTTTTTACCTTTGTTTTTCATTATTTTTTTTATTTTTTATTTTTTTTTTTTTTTTATTTTTTTTTTTTAAATTTTCTTTTTTTTTTTTTTTTTTTATGTTATTTTTTATTTTTTTTTTTTTTTATTTTTTTATATATTTTTTTATTTTTTTTTTTTATTTTTAGTTTTTTTCTTTGTTTTTTTATTTTTTTTGTTTTCTTTTTTTTTTTTTTTTTTTATTTTTTTTTTTTTTTTTTTTTTTTTTTTTTTTTATCTTATTTTTTTATTTTTTTTGGTATTTTCATTTTTTTTTTTTTTTTTTTTTTTTCTTTTTTTGTTTCTTCTTTTTCATTCTTTCTTTATTTCTTTTTTTCATTTTTTTTTTATTTATATTTTTTTTATAATTAATTATTTTTTATAATTTATTTACATTTTTTTTTTTTTTTTTTTTATTTTTTTTTATCTTTTTTTTTTTTTTTTTATTTTTTTTTATTTATTATTTTTGTTTTTATTTTCTTATTTTCTTTTTTTTTTTTTTTTGTTTTTTATTTTTATTGTGAATGTTTTTTTTATTTATGTTTCTTTTTGTTATTATTTCTTTTTTTATTTTTTTTATTTTTTATTTTTGTTTTTTTTTTTTTTTTCTAATTTTTTTTTTTTATTTTTATTTGAGCTTCTCATTTTTTTTTTTTTTTTTTTTTTTTATTTTTTTTTTTTTTTTTATTTTTTTTTTTTTTGACCATTAGATGACTAATGTATCTAAAACAATTGAATTTAGAAAACACATCTAATTTTGAAGTAAGCAGAAATAAAAAGACAATTTATAAAGAATTGTAATTAATTTCTAATCATCATCAGAGTCTGAATCATATTTCTTCCCTCGGATAGTTTTCTTTTCCAGCTTTGTGAAGTTTGTTCCAAATTTCTTTTGGCTCTGAAATGGTGGCTCCATTAAATTTCCACTAAAAATAAAGCAAATTTGAAAAGCATTTACTCTCTATAATTTAGTACAGCTGGTACGCTCACCTGCACAAAAGTCTCTTTTCTTCCTCACTAATATATGGAATAAAGTTTCCTTTAAAATGTTGGTGTTAAGGAAGAGGTATATTATTCACAATTATGGTTAAGAGTTTTAAACCCCATTTTGTATTACTAAATGCTTGAGATCAATGTTTTATTTTCTCTTTTATCATTAATTACTGATTAACACCTCAGAGGATATACCAACAGAATTTCTGACTGAAAAGCATAGAAGGAAATGAAATCGTTTTTCCATCTGTTTTGGCAATGCTGAACTTCAATTAGATTCTTTTCACTGTAAGAATGACACAGGAAAATGGTGCTCTACTTCTGATAACTTGTTATGGTTGGTTTGATCCTGTTTAACATCTTCTAACGTTTAGACAAACATCAATAAAACTCATGAAATTCATTATCATTAACCCGGAATTGGTATGAAACTTTTCAATGATGCTTGAGAAATATATGAAATGAAATGGGACAACTTCTTTCAAAAATATCTGGGAAGATGCCTGGCACCTAGATTCTGGTTTTGAAATATCATTTGCCACTGATAGGAACCATGGTTCCTTGGAGAAACAGCCAGTTCTAGGAAGAGTACTTCATGAATCTCTCTAAGACATCTTATTTGCACCAGAAACAAAGTACTTAAAGAACTACTGAGACATGTAAAATAGACATAAAAATCCCCATAAGAGGGGCTTTCACTGACGACATCTGGGGCTATTTGGGCATCAAAGTAAATAATATTAGTAACTAAAGATAACCCAACGGATAACATAAGCCACTGCCTGTTCTAATATAAATAAATGAAAACGTGAATTAATGTGAGATATGGAAAAGTTCTTCCTAAATCATCATCTGGGTAGGGAGACAACTGTTTAACCAGTGCTCAGTTATTACCACCAGAAATGAAACAAATGAACCATCCAATACCTCCTGCTACAGTACACTGGGAAGGAAGAATATAGCATCACTTTCATCACGTACCTGTGAAAAATGCATAGTCCAAACCTAATCTTGAAGCATTAGACAAACCCAAATTGAGGGGTGTGCTACAAAATAACTAGCTTGTACTCTTCAAAAATGTCAAAGTATTGACAAATGAGCCAAGAAATTGACACAGGTTAATGGAACTAAAAATACACAATAACTACACACAACTTTTTAGTATGCAGGACATTACTGGGACAAAGGTAGAAAATGAATAAGGTCTGCAAATTATAAAACACTTCTTGTCTTAATGACTGTACTGTAGTTATATAAGAAAAAAAAATCCTTGTTAGAAAATATACAAGGAAATATTTAGGAGTAAAGGGACAATAAACCTCCAACTTCTACTCAAATAGTTTTGAAAACAATATGTATGTATTCAGAAAAATTAAAAAGCAAATGCAAAATGTTTAAAACTTGAAAAATATGGGCAAAAGGTATATGAGAATTCTTTGTACTAGTTTTCAACTTGTTTAAAGTTTGAAATCACTTCAAAATTCATTTAATAAATATTAATGTTTTACTTACTATTAAGAAAGTAAAACCTAAAATTCCAATATAGGGATACATTAGGCATGTGTAGGGGAGACAGGGAGAAAAGGGGGGAGAAAAAAGAGGAGAGAACCTCCTACTTACAGAAAGGCACTAAGACTGGAATGAGAATTATATAATTTTATCTATTAATTCTGTAAATCAAAACAGGCACAGAAGACTAGATGATATGCTCTGATTTGTGGAATCAGATAAATTTCTTGGAGAAGTAGACAAGAAGATGAATGAAAAATGGAAGTTGGATTTTTGATTGTTTTCAAATGGAGACTGTTCTTCATGGCAAGTCATTTAAGCTAATCATGGATATCAAATTATATGTTTTATCAGATTTTACAAGACAAGAATAGCTACATTAAAAAATCTGATGTTCAATGTCATTTTGGGTTTCCAGACTAATAAAAAATTAGGTTCAACAGGATCTGTCAGGTTGAAAACTTTTATAGCTAAGTATACTCCAAGAGTCAATTTTACCTCTAATAGATTTTGTTTTAAGAGCATGCTAATAATGTCTACTTTAAGAAATGCATTTTTCATTTGTGAAACTTTTTTTTAAACTTTTTTTCAGAAAACCTTAGCTCCATAAATGTTGACATAAGAAACTTCTCTAAAACTATCAACTTAGTATGTGAATTAAAATCAATTGTTTTGCTAAAAGTTACCTGTAATTGAGAATATCAGAACAACCCAGCCTCCATTCTAAAGTTTCTGTGGTGAAGTCATCTGTATTTCCTAGGTCAGTAAATCCAACAACATAATCTTGTGTTTTTCCATCTTTTACCAGTGCTAGTGTGGGAATGACTTTGATACGCAGTCTCTCACAAAGAAAAGGTGCTTTTTCCACATTCAGCTTCAGAAATTTGGTCTCCAGATGTTTCTTGGATAATATTATCAAATGTCGGTCTAATATTTTACACCTGTAAATAACAGCATAAAAAAATAAAAAACTTAAAGATTTATTATTTTTAAAATAAAATCATAAAGGTACATCTAATTTTATAGTTTTTCTATTTGAGTATAATTCGGCAGCCAACCCATGCTTGTGTCAGATGACCTCACTTCCATTTCATAGATTAGCTAAATGATCTTGAGAGGGAAAAAAATAATCTAGTATTCTAAAAAGTCAGATGTTGGGGTGCCTGGGTGGCTTAGTCGCTTAAGCGTCTGACTTCGGCTCAGGTCATGACCTCACAGTTTGTGGGTTCCAGCCCCACGTCAGGTTGTGTTGTCAGCTCAGAGCCTGGAGCCTGTTCAGATTCTGTGTCTCCCTCTCTCTTTGCCCCTCCCCCATTCATGCTCTGTCTCTCTCTGTCTCAAAAATAAATAAACTATAAAAAAAATTTAAAAAAAGTCAGATGTGTCCTAATGATATTTATAAAAAACAAAATACTAAATATATGCTTTAGGTTATAAGTGGGTCATGAAGTTGTCACATTCATGGTAAGAACAAAAATCTGTCATTTATCTTATCTTTGTTTCCTGGTGTCTCATACATGGAACTCGAAGGGTGACAAATCTGAACTTGACAGAACTCAGAAGAGACTTTGCAGAATTAGAAATGTATATACAGTGCCCTATTTGGAAGTCATTAAGACTGAATGGTCTCACTGAGAAGGAACTCTTCCAACTGTGCAACTATTATTAAGAAGCATAAGGTTAAGGGCTGTAAATATGGTCATAAAGTTCTAAAGAAATGAAGAAATACCAGCAGTAACTTTTATTAAGCTACCTTCTTCTGAAAAGAAAACTGGAAATGACATTTTCTGTAAGTCAAAATGCATTTTAAACTGGTCAATCCTCTAGGGTTCCTGAAACAGACTACTGTTAATAATCTTCTTGAGCAGTTCTTTTTTTTTTTAAACCTGAAAGATGTTAATTAATAACCAAGTTACTGGGTGGTGAGTTTAAGACAAGGGCTGGGCAGGATACCGAAGATGAGAGAAGAGGGCAGGGCTGATACAACAGTGAACGATGGAGACTCTACACTGGAGCGTATATCTGTCTGAGGGAGGCAGCTGCTATTCAGGATTAGCAAACTGCTTTCATACTGAATTCTAGGTTTGATTTTTTTAAATTCTCAAATCTGAATTAAAAATATTATATCTCTCAATTTCTAAAGTTGGCAACTAATCAAATTTGGGGGTTAAAAGAAGCGCTTGAGTCCTGTGAGTTAAGATATAATCTCTTCTAAGGGTATTTTCATTTTACAAGGACTCTGCTTCCATAGAGAGACTTGCAGACCTGGGCTATCTAACATAAATCACTTTTCTTTCCATTCAGCCAAGGCTGACAGTCCCAATGATGCTTCTAGTGAAAGGGTTGCTAAACCAGTCTCCCCATGCGTTGCTAGCTGAGTAATGAATGAATTCAAAGCTGGTGTTCAAGGTGTTGGCCCCCATTCCCCATATCACACATATTATCATTACAATACCAAAAAAAAAAAAAATTCTTGTGTTGACAAAAAGAAAATTTACATGTATGTTTCTCAGGTGTTTTTAAAGATACCTAGTGGAAATATAATTCAGAAAATAGTTCTGTGGGAATAATCTTGATTTTCAATAATGTTCATTTATACTTTTTATATCAAAGGTTTCTACATTAATCTTCAAAATAACAACTGTTTAATAGAGACTTGTACACAAGTACAAAAAACTTAGGAAGTAGGTTCCTTTTATTTTTCTTAATTTCTCTACTATGTTAGTAATATATCTCTATTCAAAGATCTCATATTTTTCTTTTTTTTTAAATTAAAAAAAATCTTTTTTTTTATTTTTGAGACAGAGAGAGACAGAGCAGGAGACGGGGAAGGGCAGAGAGAGAGGAAGACACAGAATCCGAAGCAGGCTCCAGGCTCTGAGCTGTCAACACAGAGCCTGACTCAGGGCTGGAACCCATGAACGTGAGATCATGACCTGAGACGAAGTTGTAGTCTTAACTGATTGAGCCACGCAGGTGCCCCTCATCATATTTTAAAAAATTCACATGGGGGGGAGCACCTGGATGGCTCAGTCTGTTAAGCATCCGACTTTGGCTCAGGTCGTGATCTTGCAGTTCGTGAGTTCAAGCCCTGCATCAGGCTTTGTGCTGACAGCTCAGAGCCTGGAGCCTGCTTTGGATTCTGAGTCTCTCTTTGTTCCATCTCTGTTCGCACTGTGTCTCACTGGCTCTCTCTCAAAAATAAAGAATAAAAAAAAAATGAAAAAAAAACCTCACTTGGGGCATCTGGATGGCTCAGTCAGTTGAGTGTCCAACTTTAGCTCAGTTCATGATCTCAGAGTTTGAGTTCAAGCCCTGCATTGGGCATGCTGCTGTCAGCGCAGAACCTGTTTTGGATCCTCTGTCCCCTTCTCTATTGCCTCCCCACCCTCCACTCACATTCCCTCTCTCTCAAAAATAAACAAACATTAACAAAAATAAATAAAATAAAAAAGTCACTGATGGAAACAAAGTTACCTGAACGTGGAGTCTCTGTAGAAATGGCAAACTACTTTTTTACTCTCCTTAACTTCCTGAAAAAAGTCTCTCTCACTAGGGATTTCTCTGTATTCTCCATGTCCTTTTGAAAGCCATTCCTAATTTGGAGAAAAGGGAAATATTACACACTTGAAATATCTCTTCTGGTACTTCACATTTTGGGTCTAAATCACTGTCATACTCTGTAATGAAGTTGATTTTATCTTGTAGGAGGAAATGAATTCCTCTTATTGATTTACTTTCATAGGTTTCTAGTGTCAGTGCAAACATAGTCTGTGCACAATGACTTTTTTTCAGCATTCTTTGTGTTTAAAACAATCGTCTGTCTCAGTAACTTCATACAGATGTTTTCTTAGAACTTCAAAAATAAAAATTTAGACTCAAGAGACATAAGGTGTACCTGGGTGGCTCAGTTGGGTCCAACTCCTGATTTCAACTCAGGTTATGATTCCAGGGTCATGGGATTGAGCCCCTTGATTCACGCTCAGCGTGGAACCTGCTTCTCCATTTCCCTCTACCCTTCTCCCTCCCTCCTCCCCCCACTCATGCTCACATTCTCTCTCAAATAAATGAAATGAAAAAACAAAAGTAAATATCCATTTAATTTCTCTGCACTCAAACTACTAAAATCAGAAGCATTAGATCCAAGTTACTGCAAAGCTTTGAAAAATAGTGCTCATGCGATAAAGCTACTTGATCTTTGTAGGGGAGGGGAAGACAGAGGACGGGGAGCCCTGTGGACTCAGAGGCAGGAACCACTTCTATACTGGTCACCAATGGGTAGTTTCCTAGGAAGAAAAAGTTGTCTTCTCACAGGGTGTCCAGAAACAATACAGAACTCACAAGTCATCTAATCCAACTTCTCAACCCAACGTATCAATGCTTATCAACCATGGCTGACAGAGCTTTCTGTTTCTCAAGCTTCCTGCCACAGGAAAGATTCATCATCTCAACTAGAATTCATCATCTCAACTGTTTCCTTTTTCAGGCAGCTGGTTTTTATAAAAAGGAGCACTGGGCTTGCAGGCAGAAGGCATGGGCTTGAATAATTGTTCTACCATTTATTAGTCTAAGAATTCTAATTAATCTTTCTAACTCTCCATTTCCTCATTTGTAAAGTGGAGATCACAAAGCAACTATCTCACTGAGTTGTGAAAATAAGACCATCAACATTAAAATAACTACATTAGTGTCTGGCACAAGTACTTAAAAAGCATCTGCATGTATACTTTTAGAAAGGCTTTCTCACACTGAATTGCAATGTATCTGTAACTTTGGTCTGTGGATCCCAGCTTGGACCTAAGATTAGAGAGAAAAGTTGTTATCTTTCACATGTCAGTCCTTCAGATGTTCTATCTCACCTATGTCTTTTCTTCTCTACTTCCCCGCTTCATTTCCTTTTGGCTGTTTCTCAGATGAAATGGTCTCTGTATTTCTTACTCTTCTGGTTATCCTCCTCTGAACAGAGACTAATTCCTCCTCATCCTTTTATAAAGTGGCAGAGGTGTGAACGTAGCCCTCCAGAAGTGGTCTGCCTTGAAAAGGGGCAGGAGTGCCATCTCCTTTTTTCTGGACTTAAGCTAACACAGACAGCATTAAGAGTGTTGGTATCCATTTCACATTGGCTTATGCTGAGCTGACACAGGAGCTGGTGTTTTCTCCTTATGTGACATTTCTATGGTCAAGCTTCTTTTTAAAAAAATTTTTTTTAGTGGTGTCTAGGTGGTTCAGTTGGTTAAGTGTCCGACTTCAGCTCAGGTCATGATCTTGCGGCTTGTGAGTTGGAGCCCTGCTTCAGGCTCTGTGCTATCAGCTCGGAGCCTGCTTCGGATCCTCTGTTCCCCCCAACCCCCCCTCTGCCGGTCCCCTGAATATGCATGTGCACATGTGCTCTCTAAAACATTTAAAATAAATAAAAATAAAAAAAAAATGTTATTTTTTGATAGAGCGTGCACACCCCTGCACAAGCAGGGGAGGGGCAGAGAGGGAGAGAGAGAATCTTAAGCAGACTCTGCTCAGCACAGATCCTGATACAGGGCTCTATCTCACAATGGTGAGATCATGACATGAACTGAAATCAAGAGTCAGATGCTTAACTGCCTGAACCACCCTGATCAAGCTTCTATAAATAATTTAAACTCTCAAATACAATTCCTTAATAGCATGTGATATTTCATCATTTTTCTTAACTCATCAATAACATGTGCCCTTGACAAAAGAATATTTCTTTGTTTTTAAAAAACTCTTTTTATTATTAATTCTCATGTGTTTAACCAACAGGCCAAGAACTGAACCTGTCCAAGTTCCTAAGAGGGAGGCAAGCCCCCTCCGAACCTCTACCAACACATGGCATCTCTCCCAAGACACTCAAGCACACCCCTGTGCTCTTAGTGTAGTTTCTTTCACAGAGCACGTGCTCCACAGGTATCTGCTAAATGGAATCAAGCAGGATGCCCACAGATCACAGGGTAGGCTGAGCCTGCCCCAGGGCTGGCAGTGGGCAGCATCTGGCTCTCACTTAGTGGCTATCACCCAAGACTCTGGATGGGCTCGTCCTATTTCTCACCTGTCCTTCTGTTCACCACCTAACTCCTATGTCACTAGCTGTCATAAGGGTGCCTCCTACACGGTTGGTGGGAATGTAAACTGGTGCAGCCCCTCTGGAAAACAGTGTGGGGGTTCCTCAGGAAACTAACAATAGAACTCCCCTATGACCCAGCAATAGCACTGCTAGGAATTTACCCAAGGGATACAGGAGGGCTGATGCATAGGAGCACATGTACCCCAATGTTCATAGCAGCACTCTCCACAATAGCCAAATCATGGAAAGAGCCTAAGTGTCCAGCAACGGATGAATGGATCAAGAAGATGTGGTATATTTATACCATGGAATACTCCATGGCAATGAGAAAGAATGAAATCTGGCCATGTGTAGCAACATGGATGGACCTTGAGGGTGTTATGCTGAGCGAAATAAAAATAAGTCAGGCAGAGAAGGACAGATACTGTATGTTTGCACATATAGGTGGATTAGGAGGAAGTTAACAGAGGACGAAGCGGGAGAAGGGGAAAAATAGTTGGGGAGAGGAAGGGAGACAAACTATGAGACTCTTGAATGCTGAGAACAAATTGAGGGCTGGGGGGGTGGGAGAGAGGGGAAGGGGGGTGATGGGCATGGGGGAGGACACTTGTTAGGATAAGCACTGGGTGTTATATGTACAACAACTTGACAATAAACTATTTAAGGAGGAAAAAAAGAGTAGGAGGGTGCTTGGCTGACGAGGAATACTGATTCACAGAGGCCTATTAAGTACTTATGTCACTGCTTATACTAATTTCCTGATACCTACATGAATTAGTAAATCAAAATTACTATGTAATCTATACTACTCTTTGGAAAAGGGTATCTATGAAACCCATTGATGCTTCTTATCTACTTCCTTAGAAAACATTTTAATAAAAAAGACTAAATGCAACTAAAGCTCTAAAATAAGACCCTCTCAGTTATTCTATGACAAACTCATTTTAAGTTGATTTACATATGAATTAAAAAAATCCCTAACGGCTGCATGCCTCAGATGATTTTTAATGATACTCAGAATACTGTTTTTAACTGCTGACAATTTCATTTAAGCCATTATGTATGTTCCTAACTGTAAATCAGGTAGATTCAGTCTTTCTACAAAAACGTCCTGGTTATGACAACTTTTCTTTTAGTTGAACATTAGCAATTAGTTGTGTTATTTAAATGTCATCATGAAACACATGAATGTGTAGCAGAATCTCATCATGTATAACCTTACATAATTACTAGCATTATATTAAAAGTCTCTTGTTTTCAAAACCATATACATATACATATACCCTATTTTAGAAAAATCAAAATATAAAACTAGAAACTCTGTTACATTATAGAAGATTCCTTATGTACCAATTCTTCTAAACAGTGAGGGGATAAACATTATCAAAGAGATGCTGTAGCAGCACAAGCAGAACTCCTTGTTTCTTTAAAAAGTTAAAGCTCATGTTTTAGTCACAGCCAACTGAAGAGGAACCAGAATTGATAGTAATCTATTCCAATGTAATGTAAAGCAATGGAAACATTTTTAATCAAAATTAAGTTTGCAGAATTTAACCCAATTGGTTTTGCCCAGAGTCTATAAGTCAGTTTCATACTCATACTCTAAAGAGACCAACAAGGATAGAGCTGCGGCCCCCGTTCTTTGTGACCCAGCATGCATTCTTTTGAATAAATAAGCCATGTAATTGTTACACTGGCAAAGCCTGAAATAATTTCTTCACTGTAAATTGCCTTACAGCTCTCACCTCACTTACACTGATCACAAATGAATTATAACTAGCTCTACAACTACCCAAAAGGGGAATGACTGACTCCTCGTACCGCCAGTGCTCTGCCTAGTCTACTCCCTTCTCAACCAATAAATCTGAGCTGAAAAAATGATCTCGGGCACATGATTCTTATACTCGACTGAGGATTCATATACTGAGCAGGCGAATTTTTAATGTGTCTTTAAAACCAGTTTTTTTCCCCCCCGCAAATTTTTAACAGCAATCGTACTTTCAAGTTAAATCCCAAAAACAAAATCCTAAAAACGAGGAGCACATGTATATATAAGTTGTTAGGAGCATACTGTTAAAGTAATTTCAGAAAGCAGAGCAGAGAGGTTACTTGTTTCTGCTGTTGAGCTTTCCTTAGTGCCTCAAGTCTCTTTTCTTTGAGGCGTTCCAATTCATCCTCATCCATCTGATCCAGTTTCTGAATTTCAGAATCCAAATGTTCTTCCACTAGTCTGGTGGTCTGAAGCAACTGATTCTCCAGCACTTTTGAAAACATGTCAACAGATGTGTTAGCTTCCATTCTTCTAAAATTGTACAGTTCAGTCTTGGTGCTAGGGAGAAAATTTGCAAAGTTGTGGGAAAAAAAGAGACAAGTTTCCTCTCTCATTTTCAAAACAGTTGAAAAGCACACTTGATTTAATCTTTGTATCCTAGAGTTAGCAGTTCTTGGGAGCTCAAAAAATATTTGTTAACACTCAATGAATATGTGCCTAGTTTCTGCTCAAATTATCGTTAAGTTTGAAAAGTATTTGAGCTTTAAAAACCAAATTGTAAGTTCCTCATAAATGCTATACATTTTAGAAGAGGTGTATTTCAAATATGGTAAAATAATTTCATAGTCCCCACCTCCAAAAAAAAATGTCATTAAGAATGTTTCCTTTAGAGTGGCCGGATAAGGCAGAAAACTGGTTATTAAGACACTGGCTTAGATGTCAGAACCTGTTCTTACTACAGGTATAGAGAATGCTTATCTCTGGAGTTTTATAAGATAAACTTAGAATTTAATTCTGGGATAATTGGGAACAGAAGTAATTAACAAAAGCTGTTCTGGGGACAGATGGCGGTGGTCACCGCATTTACAAAGGGGAAAGGAGGTGGTGTACCGGTCTCGATAACTTTTCATTCTTCAAACCACCCACCTCTGATTCTTTTTCAGTTCATCGAGAATGGTAGAAAGGGGCTTGTCCTTAAATTGCCTGTTTCCATGCAACCGCCAAAACCACCTTAAATGCTCCCCAGGCACCTTCCCAAAAGCATACTCGCCAGTCCCTGAGCCCCAGGGACAGATAGATGAAGGCCGAGTTCAGAGGGCCGCGGAGTTCCACACCTCCCGGGGCGCATGCGCCAAAGCCTCCTCGGCCTCACAGACTCGGACGTCTAGACCGCGCCCATCCCCCCGCCCTGGCCGGATGTTGAGTGAAGTGTCCATCCGCACCGGGAGGCGGTGGCCGGCTTTTTCTCACCGTCCTCTGCCTCACCTGAGCTCTCAGTGATACCTGAGAAGTGAGGAACTAGCCGCTCCAGAAAGGCAGTCCACTGTGCCTTCACCCTCACAGCAGCTGCCGGTGGCTGCAAACCGGCCGTCACTTCCGCCTCCCCTTTAGCGGCCACCCTCTCACGACACAACCTGCGACACCGGAGGAAGTATGACAGGGGAGGTGGGCGTGCTTACGGTGAGCCCTTCTGCGCGTGCGCATCTCTCATTTCCCCGCCCCGAGGCTTCTGATTCCTAGCCGGGTTCCGAGTAAACGGCTCACGGAGGAGGGAGCAAAGTATGCTGGGGATTGTAGTTTATTAGCGCTCAGCCTCGCATTGTCGGACTTTCTGAGGCTCTGAGCCTCAGTACACGTAATGTTACATCAGAAAAGAGACAGCTACGGTCTTGCTCGGGAGTGACACTCCAACTTCGCTTCCATTGTGTTGAATGAACACTTTTTTTTTTTTTAAGTTGAGGTATAACTTACACAGCATGATTTGTTTTTACATAGATAACACCTGTAATATCACCGTCCAGACCCAGGTAGTGAACATGTTTACCACCCTAGTAGGTTCTTTTTACCTTCCCTAACACAAATTCTTAGAACTTGCTCTCGCTTTGTAAAGATTAAGATCTATTTTGGGGAATAAGTATATCCTCGTTTTACTTTATTTTTATTTGTAATTATTTTTAGTGACTCAACAGACTTCATAATTCAGGGACGTTACCAAAAGAGCCAATTTGTCCTGGATTTATCACGCAGAGTGCCTATCGTTGGTTCACTGTGGTTCTTTACTGAACTTAGTGCGTCTGAGAATAGATATATAGAAAGATATATAGGTGGATGGAAAGCTCAAAATTTATTTCTGAAACGAGCTCCAATCATCCAAGTCTGCGTTCCCCCGCAGAGATAGAGCTGACAAGGGGAATTTTCGGCCTCATTGTCTCAGGGTTCTAGAACCCCGCAGTTATCGGTGCGCGGAGGACGCTTGCGGAAAGGGGGCGCTCGGGCTCCCGCCTGACGGGCGGGTCAACGGGAGACGCTCTACCCGAAGCACAGCTCTCGATGAGCCGCGCCCTGCGTCCTCACGCCGGGGCGGCGAGGCGATGCGCTTGCGCACTCAGAGCTCACACCATATGTGCCCTGTCCCAGTGCGCGGGTCTGTGGAGAGCCGGGTGCGAGAGGCGGCAGCGCGAAGGGAACGGAGCTGAACACAGACCAAAGTCGGCTGGGGGACAGTGGGTCTGTGAGAGACCGAATAGAGGGGCTGGGGCTACGAGCGCCGCTGACACACGATGGGGAAGAAACAGAAAAACAAGAGCGAAGACAGGTAGCCAGTGACTGGGTCCGCACGGCGGCGTCCGCCGCAGCTCAGTGGTTCGCTTGGCTTTCGCCGGCGCGGGGTGGACCGGGGGCGAGGCTCGCGACCCGCACCGCGGGGCCCTGGGCCTGAGTCCAGAAAGGGGCGGCGCGGGGCCAAGACCCTAGTTCCGGGCGGGCGCGGAGGGCCTCGGCGGCTGGCGGGTTCTTCCAGTCGATACTTGGTCCGGCAGGTACTCCTCTCCCGGCCTGGAAAGAGGGGTCTCCCGCCAGAAGAGCGGGGCAGTGGTTTTGGGGATCCCAGGGGTAGGGGCTCAGGAGGCTCCTCTGGGCCGGACACGGCCGGGTCAGCGTGGCCGGGGCAAGTGAGTTGTTTTTGCGGCGCTGCTATCAGCGACGGTGAGGAAGAGTTCTTTCTGTGCCTTTGTACCTGTGAATGCTTGGAGAGGAGAGTTCGAGTATGTGTACCTAGAGCTAGGTTTTTTTTAAAACTCTGAGCCGCTCAGGTGCGTTGGAGGTACAGGGAGGTGTTTCACAGGTAACGCTCTCTTTAATTTTATTTGGGGACAGGTCTCAATTGTTTAAGGGCTCGTTGTCCACATTCCATGCTTTTCGCTTTCCTTCTTCCGGCCTGTCTTTAGGCCATTTCTTTGCTCTCTAGCACCTCCCCTTAAAAAGGGGGGAGGAGACAAAACCAACCAACTCGGATCTCTTTTTTTTTCTAACCACTTTAAAGGTTTTTGGGGGGAGGGAGTGTAAAGGTATATCGCAAAGCTACCTACCCTGAGATTTTTTGCAACACTTCTGTGTGTCACATTCGATTGAATTCTTTTACTCTTCTCATTCAAAGTTTACTCTCTGGGAGTGAACAACATCTGTTAGGTTTCACCTTTGTATACTACTTAGCAAGCACACCAGGTTCAAATATTAGGGGGAGAGTAAGGTAAAATTAAAACAAAACCCAAAGCAATCACCTATAATAGTTATAATTTTAACTCAAAATGGATATCAGGTCTTGAAGTTAAAATAAGATTACTAATTATAATTTGGAATTCCGGATTGTGTGCTCACCTGGCAGTCACCTGGCTCATGAGTGGAATTGAGAGACACCAAGGTGAATCTTGAAATTGGAGGAAGTTAATTGGCTTGCAGACTAGAACTTGTTAATTAAACCAGGTAAATTAGAGAAAATAATCAGAATTCTGGGTGATTTAGTGGGACCAAAATTTCTTTGCTTTTGACAGGATGTTTTGACGCATACATTTTTCCTCGACTGTGTTGAAGAAATAGATAAATATAAAGTTTTGTATACCAATTACCCACGGTTATCACATGACCATTTCTGTTTTATCCACCTGCTGGATATTTCAGAGCCATCTCAATCCTTTCATGTGTAAATCCTTCAAGTGTATCTGAAAGATAAATACTTGAGGGGAAAAAAACCACAATTTTATCATCAAGTCTAGGGAATATTAAGGCTGTCTTAAGTATTACTGAGTATCCACTCAGTTTTCTAATTTCAGTGTCTTATTTAAAAATTTTTTTTTTAATTGGCTTGTTTGGTTCAGGAATACAGAAGTTTTTTAAATTAAAAAAATATGTGTATGTTAGTCCTTTACTTACATTTTTTTACTTTTAAGTTCTTTCATAATGGAAAAGAGCTATTCAGAAGGGAGGTACTTATTCTTGTTAGTGTGTTTTTAGAAAAAAGTATTTGTTAGTGATTATAAAGATTTTCGTCATTGATGTAAAGTTTAAAGTGCAAACACTGGAGCCTGTGTTAAATGATTGGTTTGGAAGTATAGGAGGAATAATACTACTATTCCCTTGCCCCCTAGCTCCTGACTAATCTGTGGTCTTATATTTTGGCTCATTTTGAAGGGAAAGTGGTGGCAATGTAATTGAAAAATTTATTTTCTCGTATATCAAGTTTATTTTTCAATGTTTCATGGACTCCTTTGCTCGAATGCCTTTGAAATAATATCTAAGAAATCCCAGGGTTTTGCAGAGGTCCCTGTTGGACCAGAACTGTTTGGCCTTTTTACTTTGGCATTCCACATAAGATATTTTAGAGGAAGGGAGAGACTGGGAAGATATTTGGGGAGGGATGAAGGAAGTCAAGGAAATTGCACTACTTGTGAATTAGTTTGCTATGACCTTCAGTACGTTGAAATACTATTTTCTTCAAGGATATTTTGAATATTTGTAAAAGAAACAAAAACAGACTGGGAAGAAGGTCTAGAAGGAGAGAGTCATATTTTAGGATTAATATTCTTGTTTGTGTAAAATGAGATATTTGGTTTTACTGTTGTATAAAGATCCCCACTTTTTAAATTTAATTCTTAGAGGGAGAGGGGGAGAGAGAGAGACAGCGTGAGCAGGTGAGGGTCAGAGAGAGAGGGAAACACAGAATCTGAAGCAGGCTCCAGGCTCTGAGCCAGCAGTCAGCACAGAGCCCGACGTGGGGCTCGAACCCACGAACCGCGAGATCATGACCTAAGCGAAAGTCGGACGCTTAACCGACTAAGCCACCCAGACGCCCCTTAAAGATTTTATATTCATTCCACCTCCCCTTCTCTTTCAAGCTATGCTAAGCTGAATATGTTTCTGGCCAGCTAGAACTGGGTGAGAAATGAGCTGCTGCTTATTAGTTATCAAGATAGGGCATTGAGTCACTTTTCGGGTCCCTTTTTTGTTTGTTTGATCCCCACACTAAGTGTGGTAGTTTTATATTTCAGATTATAAGGGAGTTGATGTATCACGTTAATAGGATTAATTACCTCTTCCCTCCAGCCCCACACACAGAAAAGGGGGCGGGATATGGGGAGAAGGAAGATAATTATTTCATCTATCCCAGCATCAGATATGGTGGTGGAGATGTCATTTAGGAACTAGAAGGTCTTTCAGGATTTCGTAGAGTTCTAGGGTATGTTCACCATTAGGTTATTTCTTGCTGTGGTTCTCTACACCAGTAAGTTTGCCAGTATAGTGATTCCGCTATTTGTTGTTTTAACTTAGTATTTCTGTCATTACTGGCAAATTCTGTTTTCATGGGAGTTCTGGCTATCTCTGAGACACTATCCTAGCCTTTAGATGGTTGCTTTAATGTCAGACATTCATCCTAGTCAGTCAGGTATGATCAGGGTAGCAGGGTCCCTTCCCTGTGATAGAAAACATGGTTATCTAATTAAGGAACCTGCCCAGAAGGAGCTCCGAGTATAGCAGATACTCCAGAGCTTCCCAGAGAGGGAGTTGGCCAAGTGGCAAGTAGTCTGTAGTTCAACAAAGGAATTTATTTCTCATCTGTATATACTTGCATTAACAAAAAACCCTATCTCCTGGGTGGCTCAGTCGGTTGTGTCCTACTTTGGCTCAGGTCATGATCTCACAGTTCATAGGTTCCAGTCCACTGTCGAGCTGTCAGCCTGGAGCCTGCTTGGGATTCTGTGTCTCCTCTCTATCATAACCCCCTCCTCTCAAAAATAAATAAACATTACAAAAATTTAAAAAACCTTCTATCTCCATATACTTGATTATAAAAGAAAAGGTGTATAATCCAAGAGTTTTATTGGCTTAGCTTGTTCTCATACTGATACTTTAGGAAATTGATATGTGATATTTGTCATAGTCTGCCACGCATGAAAGAGAAAACAGATG